CACAGGCTAACTTTAATTGATACATATGATTCACTTTTCCTCTCACAAGGTGGAATATCCATACCCTTATTTTATTTAGGATATTTAAAATTTCCTAAAAATGATTAATGACTCCAAAAGCAATGTGTTTCTCACAGCTCATATATTAAAACATCTCATTATGTATGTTTATACCTTATAATTACCCAAAGCATCATGAACAAATTTTATTGTTTCATCCAATGGGTCAAACCTGATATATTGTTTATTCTTTATATCTTTGATTTCATTTCCTGCATACTTACTTGTGGACAACTGTTTGGATGATGATTAATTATTTCACAAAGTGGAAATGTTTGAATTCATTTTGTCGCTCTTGGACTTGATAATGTACAGGTACAGCAAATTTACTGCATATGGCCAATCAAAGCTAGCTAATGTTTTGCATGCTAATGAACTTGCAAGACGTCTTAAGGTATGCTAATGCATTATTACAAGCATAAAAGATGGAAGCTATTATGGCATAAGATCATCACATACAGGTTGCAATTTGAATTATTGATTTTTTTTGTTTGCAAAATGCATTATAGATTCTAAATCTTAGCTTCTGACTTTATCCCTTGTAAGTTTTTATTTCAAACTTTTTTTACTGTGACCTTGCATGTTTTAGTTTGGCATAGCTAGTGTAGTAGAGATTGTTATCTTTCTTTTCTTATCATTCAATTCCATTTGGCGTTATCTCTTACCAGCATCTGAAAATGTGAACTTTTCAGAAACCTAGCAAGTTTTCCAGCATGTATGATGGGTGTCAATATTTCATTTAAAAGGAATCTTTGAAGTAGATCATTTGGAGATTGAGCTTGGATACCATAAGTTACTAGGCTATGATGGTGTTATCTTGTTGTAAGCCTGATTATGCATTTTTAGCTATGTTACATAAACTCTGGAATCAGGACCAAGTGTCTGATATTGATTCCCTTAAATAATGAAGCCCTAAATATTTTTTAATTTGTGTAATATTTCACCCGCATTTTGATTAGAAGTACCTGTTACATAGTTTTCTAAGCAACTGGTTATCAAAACATATATTTCTTTGGATTGCTACCCATAACAGTTAAGCATTACAATATTTACCGAACAGTAAAATTTTATGCTGCAAAGATGGTACTTTCTGAAGTGAACCTCCTTATAAGTTTATTATTTTATGAAGTTCTCATCATCACATGTTTTTATGTAACTTTAGAGTGTGGTTCTCCTTTGCAAGCTGAGATCAGAACGATGCTAATCTGACATTAGTTTTATTACATGTGACCTTCTAGGTTTTGCTATGCTTTTCTTTACATAATTTGTACGCTTACAGGTGCATTCCCTTTGAAAGAGGATATCCCTTATAAATGGTCTCTCTGTAGTTCTACTGTGCCGTTGACAGTGTCAAATTTAGATGTTTCTGTGCTTGTGAAAAAAATATATATATATATATATAATGCTATTTCTATCATGGTCTCACAGTTATGGTCTTTCTCAGTCTTCACTTTACTAGTTTGCAATTACTATGTAAGATCTGCATGATGTTTGTTTCTTTGACCAGGAAGAGGGAGTGGATATAACTGCAAATTCACTTCATCCAGGGGCAATTGTCACTAACATTTGCCGTCATTATTTTGGCATTTTTAATGGTAATTATTTAAGTGTTTGATGTTATGACTGGGATTTCTCCAATTTGGCAGAGCAAACAGGCATCATTTCTCTTTCCTAATGCAAGGAAGCAATATAGATACTGCTACCTTATGCATGTAGCATACGAGTCACTTTATTTTCTTTGTCTTGATACAGGCCTTCTTCGCAAGGTTGGTAAACTTGTATTCAAGGGTGTCGAGCAGGTAAGAAGTTTTCACTTTCAGGTGTAGTATTCTTTAATCTTATATAAGTTTAGGTAATATATAAGGGGAAAACTAGCAATGGACTTGAAAATTCAGGGATCTCGTGTTAGTAGGGAACAAAACTCGTTACTTAACGTGCTGAATTTCAGCACTTCAATACCATTTTACCTTTTGCTGGGATCATTTAGTTGAAAAGTATGCTATTATTCTAGTACATCAAACATGTTGTGTTATGCATATTAGAATATATCTCTGCACTTTTGCATGGTTATATTTTTGTCTGAATACAGGGAGCTGCTACAACGTGCTATGTGGCATTGCATCCAAAAGTAGAGGGAGTTACGGGTGAATATTTTAAGGACTGTAATATTGGGCAAGCAGGCGAGAAAGGAAGGGATGCCGAGTTGGCCAAGAAACTCTGGGATTTCAGCATGGATATGATCAAATGATGTTGCCAGCATGCATTGGTATTCGGTGTGTATAAATATATGGTCACACTAATCTTACATGTACTATAAGACTATACTTTTTTTTTTTCTTTTGAAAAGCAAAAGATATTATGATATTAATAATGTGAGTACAAGGGGTACTTAAACTTCTAAATATTATCATGTGAATAAATCAACAGTAAAAGGAGCTGATGTACAGGGAATCACTAAAATCCTAAGACAAGCTTAAATGCTCTATTTCATATTAATCATGTATCTGACTGGATTAGAAATCCATTCTGTTAAAGAAAAATTCTCAAGGTTCGAAAGAATTCTAATCCAATGAAATGATCAAATCTGCACCAATTGAAACAGTTTATCGTTATTGGGCTTTTTCTGTTGAAAAGTTGAAAAGTTGTTTCATTTCTGCTCAACCATATTGTCCAATGAGACTACATTTTATGGAATTAAAATATAAGTGTTTGGTTTAACAACTTAAAGTTGCTTGTTAATTAATTTTTTTTTATTTTTAATTCAACAGTTGATCATTTTTATTATTAATAATTTAAACACTTTTATTTTTTAAATTAAGCAAAACTACTAACATTAGTTACAAATTGTTATATGGAATACCTTCAAGGTGACCAAAACAAAGTCGCTTTAATGCTACTCTATTTGTTAAAAATAATTATTTTTTATTTTTTTAACTTTAAAAAGTTTCTACTTTAATTTTATTATTTTTATCTAACTTTAATTAGTAATCTTATTACTAAAATTTTTTCTCCATCTTTATTTTTTAAGA